CACTGTTGAAGCTGTAATTATGTATAGCAGATGGGACAGGGGCTATCAAACTCCGATGATGAATGACAAAATAACCTCATAGGATTCATACACTAGATGTTTAAGTACATAGTGCATTGAATAAGTGCATAGGACATCGTTTAGGACACAACTACACTCAAAAATGATACTTTTTTTTATCAATTTAAACAGTACTGTTTAAAATCTTTTTTTTTAAATAAATTAATAGGCTACTTTTACTTAGTATGAATGCAGAAAATTGATCAAAAATCACAGTAAAGACTTTTATAGTGCTATAGATTTCCATTTCAAATAACTGCTGTTCATTTGAACTTTTTATTCATTAAAGAATCCTAAAATGTATCATGGTTTCCACAAAAATATTAAAGGGGTCATATGATGCAATTTCAATTTTTCCTTTCTCTTTGAAGTGTTACAAGCTCTTGGTGCATAAAGAAGATCTGTAAAGTTGCAAAGACTAAAGTCTCAAATCCAAAGAGATATTCTTTATAAAAGTTAAGAGTCAACCACGCCTACCTAAAACGGCTCGTTCTAACACGCCCCCACATACCTACGTCACTATGTGGGAAGATTTGCATAACACCGCCCAAATGTTCACGCAAAGAAAGAAGGCGTAACTTTTATTCTCGCTGTAGTATTGTTGTTGCCGCCATGTCGTGAAGATGCTGTGTGCTTCGTTGTGAAAGCGAAACTACTTTGTTTGGTCTTCCAAAAGAGGACGATATCCGCTTCGTCATGCCTGGAGCTGATCCGTGCTGGTCGCTGAGGAAATACATCGACTTCGCGCTGTGGATCGCCGGATCGGTTTTCACCGTGGATGACGCAGAGTCCAGCCCGGGGTCGTCACATGTGGTTGCCGCAAGTCCGTCGACCGCGCCATTCTCAAGCTCGCCATGTGTGACGCTGTGTGTTTCGTTGTGAAAGCGAAACTACTTTGTTTGGCCTTCCAACTGGAGTAATGATGGAGTAATTCAGCTTTGCCATCTTAGGAATAAATTGCATTATAAAAAAATTTCATTTTATATTATAATAATATTTCACAATATTACTGTTGTATTACTTTTACTGTGTTTTTGATCAAATAAATGCCTTGGTGAGCAAAGAGACTGACTCCAAACTATAAATATAAATCGATTTATGCATTTTATAAACTGATATCAGAAAAAAAATTTGTTTGGTGCATCCCTACTCTCTGGACCCATTTGACAACTTCTTTAACAGTGATAACTATGTTAAAAATGTATGTTTTTATGACTGAGACAATATTTTTGATTAATTACATTTGGCCTGATCTGTTTAAAAATGTCAGTATCAGTGCAGGTATTGGATTTGTGCATCCCTACAATAGAGAGCTCTTTATATCTGTGCGATGAGTCAGCCACGAAGTAAGAGCTTTCATGAACTTATAACCTCCGAAAGATGCACTCAAGGGTTCATCAGCAAAGCCACCTGGAATGCTGTCCTTCAGTTCAGCTCATCAGTTCATGGATTTTTTTCCTCATTCTAGTGTATGCAGACTTCAATTGGCAGTATTGATTGAATATGCATGAAACATGACCCTATACTAGTATCATTCAGGTCCATAGCACTTAGCAAGAACCACTAATGATTAGGGCTGGGTAAAAAATATTGATATCTCGATAATAATCGATTCTCATTTTTACGGAATGATATAGATTCTTAAATCCCAAGAATCGATTAGTCTAGCCTGTTTTCAGTTAATGGACGGAAGGGCACTTCCCATCCAATATATGGCAATAAGCATTGTGCGTTGGTACTTTTAATATGAAACAAAGTCTCAGATTTCAAATTCTGTCCATTGTATTGCAGTATTCAAACAATTAATGCCGTTTTGGCGCTGTTTAATGTGGAGTGACAGATCGCTGTTGCGCCTCAGTTCAACAGACGCGGCAGCGTGTAGCGCACGTGAACTGATCATCTCCTCCACATTAATACCAGTTTCAGCACAAAATAAACATGACTAAACATCCGAAGTTAAGTTAAAAGAAAGAGTACAACTTTACAATCCTTATCCTGTCTCATGTAATCGCTCAATCAGTGTTTCAGCCGCGCAAAGACATCAATATAACGGCTTGTAAACAATATGTCACGTAACGTCACATTTACCTCAGAAAAACATATTCGGTGACTATAAACTCATTAGTCAGATAGGAAAATAAACTGTAGAAGAGGGGCATTTTGCTAAATATATGCACCATATAACATATTCATTTTAAATTTTACTGTTCTTCAATGTTTAATTTATGTTTGAATAATTCCATCAAGTTTTTATGACAGCCACCATTATGTTTATATATTTTTTTAAAACGAATTGAAGTAGAAATGTTATTATGTAATTGTAACTTTATTATAAAAACTTCATTAAGTGTAATTTTAACAAATCAGTCAATTTTAACCTTCAATATTATAGTAATGTAGTACCAACTGACTCTTGTATATTTTACTAATGATAATAACAACTAAAATATGTCTCTTAGACATAAGATTAAGTGCCATACAAAGGACAGTAAAAGCTAATGCAAGGGACACTGCAAAGATGTTAAAATAACAAAAAACAGCCTTTACAAACTATTCAGTGAATTTTGTACTTTGGTAGTATCATAAAGCTTGTCTCTGTTCCCAAGCATAACGGGCGTTTGTTTTATGGTTGTCAAAAATCTTAATCTCAAACCTCCTGTCAAACCAAGAGAGTAATGTTGACTATTCTGATAAAGCAATGTATTCTTAGTTGTAGTTTTTTTATTTTGGGATTTTTAAATGCCAGATTCTGAGAAGGAAAAGCTGGAAAGGCTGCGACTTATTCTCAGGGCACACCAAATTAACAGGTTTTGCTCTGAAGAGCTTGCGTTGTCCTGCTGCATTAGTTATGGGTAAATGGAAGAGAAGGTCAGGGCGTAAGTATCTGAATCAGAGTACATCCACAGTCTGAATGCTAAAGCAGATGAGCACAGTAACAGGCTTTTCAGGAAGGTTAAACCAGTGTCATTTTAACACTGTTCATGTTTTAATAATAAATGATTTTGGGTCATCAGGTTTTAAGATTTCAAACTGGACATTGAAATGTCATTTATTCCTGTGATGGCGAAGCTGAATTTTCAGAAGCATATGTCATATAGCATGTATAATCATGTGCATATGTTGATTTGGTGCACAGGAAACATTTCTTATTATTATCAACGCTGAAAACAGTTGTGCTGCTTAATATTTTTGGCGAGACCATGATACATTTTTTCATTACTTTTTAAAGAATCGAAAGTGGAAAAGAATGGCATTTATTTAAAATAAAAATCTTTTATAAAATTATAAATGTCTTTAATTTTGAATGATTTGATGTGTCCTTATTGAATAAAAAAAACTTACTTGATCCCAAACTTTTGCGTGTATAATATACATCAGAAACACTGCTGATACTTAAATGAAATGTATCAACAAAAAAAAAAAGAAAAGTCTTCTGAGCTAAGAAAGGGCATCATTTGAGCAATACATTTTGCCTTTGGATGGAAATGTCCTCACGTAAATGCACTCTGGTTGTCTGAAGAAAAAGAAAAACTAAGACAAAAAAGGAGGAAAACACAGAGGAGCGTTTGTCATCACTGTTTGACATTTTTGACTCTATCTTTCTTTTTGATGTTAACGCTGAAAAGTGCATGGCAGTTTCTGCATCTCTGAGACATCCATTAATATTTAATAAGCAAAGACTTTAAGCGAAACAGGAGGGTGCTGAACCCCTTTCAAGATTACAAGTGTAAAACACTGCATAACCCAGGGTTTCTTTCACATTTCTTTTGTCCTCACTTTCTAGTCATTGTCCAATCAAAAGAGGAATCACACTTAGTAGGACATTTTCATTTGCCACATCCTCAAGCCAATCAGCAGGCTAATTTCTTTCAGACCCTTTCATACTGGAGAAACTAGAGGTTGTTAAGAAAAAACTTTTATGCAAGTGAAGGGTATGTATGAGTGTTTTTGTGTAATTTTATATCTCATTGAAACTAGGCGAATATTAGATTCTGAATGCACAAAATTGTGGTTTTACCTCACCCAAAGTCACAAAATCTCTTGATTATCTGTTGAATGTGTATCTCTTTGCAGTGCAGTCTAGTGAAGACATTATAAAGACTGCCGTTTCATTTAAATGATTCCACCATCTACAGTCACGAAGAGGAAGCGCTTTGTGCATAAATCACGCATACCAACTCTCAATTTCTCCTTTTCCTCTTAATAGTCAGGGGATGTGAATCACGGTCTGCATTCTTCCTACTCACCTCGTATACACTCTTTCCTTCCTGGT